TCTGACAGTCGCCAGCTGTCGCACCGGCTTGGCTGGGCCGGGCCGCTTGTCCGTCTGTGCGCAGATCTGGCCGCCTGCCCGTCGTGTGTCTGGCTGTCGAGCTGCCTTTCAGCAAAGGCACGCGTGCCGCCGCCAGCCAAGCCTGGACAGGCGCGCCCGATTCGGGGCCGCCTTCGATGGCGCCTTGAAAATGAGGCAGGCAATTGGCCAAACTACTCATTTTCGGCATGAGTAGGCATCACGAAAACCGATTACACTACCATTTATGTTCACATGGTTGCCCTGCCGATCGGTTGGTACCGAGGCACGCGCGCGAACACGAAAGAGGTGATCAACCCAACCGTAAGTGTGTACTGCATAACGCAATGGGTGTGAAGCTTAAAATATTTAAGAAAAGTGTGGATTTACGGTCAGAAAACTTTGTCGACTGTCCTAATTCCTTCTGGCCTCTCAATACTTATTAAGTGCATATGCCAACACAAGACGCCACATAAGCACACACACATAGACATGCATACACACATACTTTATATTTCAACAAGTGCATATATTTTGGGAATATATGCAAGTTCCGATGGAACTTGGATTCAACGAGATGGCCTCTTCGGCCGAGTCAGCAAGAATTGTCCACTAAAGCCACCCGACAGTTGATCAAAAGGGTGAATCCGTCGTCGTATTCTCTTGCGATTGACTTTCGAATGTCTTCCCGCCAAATGAAACCGAGCTCAATAATTTTTGGGTTGTCATGCCACTCAAAGTGCTGTTGACCCTCCCTCCGGCCTGGACCAGTTTTGGCATCGCTTTATCGCCTCATCGCCTCTTTATCCCACCCAATGGAATTTGTGCAGTGCACATGGCGACGCTGCAACCAAGCCTGCGTCAAAACGGCCCTTTTTGAATAAAATGGCAAACCGAAATATACAATTTGTTCGACCTTGTTTTCACAACTTGGTCATGTTGGTAGGAAGAGGAACGAACCTAGTTCGGAGTACATTGTATGCATGATCATTTCCAGAGTAGGAGCGTGGACGTGGTACATTGCCAGACGTTTCGCCGGCATCGTCAGTGAGTCTCGCCATTCGTAGCACCAGATTGCAACTCGTCAAAGGGACAAGGTGATTCTTCCTCAAAGTCTTCCTACCAATCTGACCGAGTTGCGAAAACAAGGTCAAACCACTGGTATACAACGAAAGGTGACTGCGACCACACAAAGAGACACACCATCTTGCTGTTCATACCTTCGAAATATATTTAACTGAAGCGAGAAGCAAGGTAATGTTTTATTCAGTATTATTTTGTTCTACTGCCACCGTCCCATTTCACTGGGAACCGGTGATCCGAACTCGTTTCA